AAAAAAAAAAAAAAAAATTTCACAAAGCAGGTATTTGTTGGCTAATCAGATAAACAAAGAGCCACCAGTTCAGCCCCCCGTCAGGAGCTCAGAATCCTGTTTCCAGTCCTCCCTCGTGCATCCAGCCCGGTTGGCATCCCTGTGCCTCAGTTTTCTTGTAAGGAAAATGGGGATAACATCTTAGATTCAGTGTGAGGCTTAAATGGGTGAACACACGTAAATCCCGCAGAACAACTGGGTACAGCACACGTCAAGAGGTGTTACCGGTGTTCACTAAGGTTTGTATTTCAGTGGGTGCTTGTGCACACCGGACACCGCCTACTTTCCCTCCAGTGCCCGGTTTAAACCAACCGCGGCCTCCGAGACGACACCACCTTCCTTCTCACCTAATGTCAGGGTCATCAGACCCCAGAGGCACTGCCATCCCCCAGCACCTTTTCAGAAAATTCAAAAGCACATCACACCCTGGGCTCCATTTGAGGGCCCGAAACCTACCTTAGGGTGAGATTTCACTCCAGAAGCAATGCCTTAATAAGTAGTCATTCAGTCACAATGTCACAGGATCCTGGACTGAGACAGGATCCTGGACTGAGGCGTGAAAAGGTGTGAGGGCCGTGGAGGGGGCCCCCCTATTCCACTGTGCTCGGAGCCAGGGGGTCTGCCCGCCTATGGCGTCCTGGGTGACTCACCTGGCCCTTGGCGAAGCCATCAAAGCCATCGTAGATGGCGAGCATCCTGTGGCCGTCGGCAATGCCCACGCGCACAGCTGAGCGCACGGCCGCGTTCATCCCGGCCGCGGGGGCCCCCACGTTGATGACAGCCACGTTGCAATTGGTCTGCAAAACAGAAGGCGGGCGAGCACTGGGTCACGGGCACACGCGAGCTCCATTTGCGGCACGCTGTGGCAGTGGCCCATGCCGAGCCAGGCCTGAAAACCGGTGGCCTCATTCAGCGAGGCAGAGGCCATGAGGGGAGGCCCGCAGGAGAGGTCGGGGGCATCGCGGGAGGCCGGCCACCGACCTTTGGGATCTGATCATCCGGCAGCTTGATGGCGAGTCGCTTGTAGGTGTTCAGGTTGCCCGCAAAGCTCCTAAAGGAAGAGGGTATTGTTGGATCAGAGTTGGGACACCACACACAACCTGGGGCTCATGCAGAGAAAAGCGGCTTGTCTGCCAGCACTCAATGTGTCTGCCAACTATCTGGGCAGGAGGAGGAGGCCCCAGGATTCCACGCGCGCTGCAGAGCCCTTACTGCGACCCGCGGTGCTGTCCGTGTCTGGAGGAAACGGACTGAGAGAAAAGGGTATGCTTCTACACTTCGTAACTTTCTCTTGCAAAACGAGGGCCACAGCCGGGTGTGGTGGCTCAAGCCTGTAATCCCAGCACTTTGGGAGGCTGAGGCGCGTGAATCATTTGAGGTCAGGAGTTCGAGACCAGCCTGGCCAACATGGTGAAACCCCGTCTGTACTAAAAATACAAAAATTAGCTGGACATGGTGGCGCGCGCCAGTAGTCCCAGCTCCTTGGAAGGCCGAGGCACGAGAATTTCTTGAACATGGGAGGCAGAGGTTGCCGGGGGCCGAGATGGCACCACTGCACTCTAGCCTGGGTGACAGAAGCAGACTCTGTTTTTTGTTTTGGTTTGTTTTTAAAAGGCCACAAGTCACCTTGTGCCTTAATCTCATTAGCTCCTAAACCACCACCACCTTGCCAAAAAGGACTAATGGCAACTTTAGAAAATGATTTCTCTCTAACCAGTCACCAGGGCCTGCTACTGCAAAAGGGGTGCTGTGAGTCCTGCCTGACTTTCTGAGTTTTCAGACTGACATGGAATAAGCACAACCCCTAAGCACATTTGCAGTGGCCAGGCCCGAGGGGTGTGTGTTCCCGACAGGGCGGAGCTTTCTCCAAAGCACCTCACCTCCCTCGGAGCCGAACCGCATCTTGAAATCTCCTCTCGTCCATCGCCTTCTGCACATCCTGAGTCTTTTAAAACAATGATGAAAAGAAGAAAGAATGTGTCAGAACTTGGTGCACCATGGATGGGGTGGGTGGAGGCTGGCTCGGTCCTTCCCACCAGCCCTCTCCAGTCTGACCCAGGCCGCCGGCAGCCCCAGGGTTAATGGTCTAGACGACCGGCCACCAAGTATAACCTAATGCTGGTTGGCAGCCAGCCCCTCACTGCCCGGCTGTGAGGTCAGAGCCCTGGAGTCTGCTTAGCTCAGGAGGCTTCTGAGGAAAAAGAGGAGGTGTCACCTGCTGTTTGTGGACACAACATTGTGAAGATTTAACCCAAGAGAACAAAGCCGGAGGAAATGAAACCTCTCAGACATGGTTCTAAGGAATTCTCAATTTGATTATGGTGGGAAAACAAAAACAAACACACCAGCTCACTGGGGAATGCGGGATGGGAGTGAGGTCACGGCGGGTGGGGGAGCAGAGGGGCCCTTTCTCGCTCTAAACTTCAATTTCCTCCTCTGTAAGATGAGAAAAATACTCCTCCTTCCAGCAATCTCTAAGGTTATTCAAACATGTCAGACCCTCAGGAAGACGCCTGACAAACAGCAGGTGCACAGGTGCACAGCAGTGGCTCCCTCCGCTTTAACAACAAAGCCACACAAGGGTGGTTTCAAGGTCAGGGCAAGTGACACCTACCGTGATCGTCTCTAGACAAGCAGAGACACGAGACACAGGCTCAAAATACACGTACTGCGTGTCGTTCAGGGCTCTGAGCCTTTTAAGCCTACTGCCTCTCACATGCACACAGGCACACACTACTATGCAGACACACACTACCTCGAACTCATACCAACATGCACACATATGCATAGAAACATACCTGCACACAGACATGCAGACACACGCTACCTCTCACATACACACACGCATATAAACACGCACGCACACACAGACATGCAGACACACGCTACCTCTCAC